GTACAATAAAATAATTTTTAAATTACTCTTGAAAGAATACACAACATGTACTGATCAGTCCTCATCAGATGACATAAATGCATACAGTTCTGAGTCAGAGAGATCTTCTCCATATCTATTACGAAGGTAATCAAAGTAAGTGAATTCATATTCATCATCATAGTAATCATAATCATCAAAATTACTGTCATCATCAGACTCATCGCTGCTGCCACTCTCGTCGCTCTCATCATAATCCACTATTCTACAACTAAATACCATCACAAGCTGCGGTTGACTTGACTGCAGCTTTTGCACAATATTCTCAAACTCCTCTTGAGCTGATTTTGAGTTGACTCTAAAGTCTTCAATTATCACATATTTCTTATTTTTAGGGTCTATGTTGATGTGATTCCCTAAAATTGATTCAGAACATTTGTGGAGGATTATGGTATGAACATTTTTCATCTGGGAGAAGAACAAATTTAAAACACGTTCTTTCACACGCAAATTATTAATGCGGAAAACTTGGATTCCTTTACTCCTCTTAGCCAATGCTTCTAAGGATTGATTTACTGCGGCATTATATTCTGGCAACCAACGGCAATGATGTGAAGAACTGAGAGTCAGTTCTGTAATGTTTTGAATCACTGGAGACTCATCTATGAACTTCATCAACTCTGGTAGTGGAGTAATTACAAATGAATCAAAAAACCATGTGAAGTACAATCCAAGACTTCGTAGCTTACTCATATGATCTACAACTGGAAGGATTCCAATTGGTACTTTCAGTGTCTCTACATTATGACAACCCCTTACAGCAGCCATAAACTTTTCAACTGGTTCACACACTATCTCAAAGTCAATCTCTTGTAACAAGTCTTTCTTGCTTTTCAAAACATCAAAGATCAAACAGTTCCATACCCCTGTGGCTTTGAATCTGCTTTGCAGAACAAATTTTTTGAGTGAAGGGCAACCTTTACCAAGTTGTCCCTTATAGTTCTTGAATTCTTGAACAGCAATACGTTTAAAGCCAAGGCTTTGTAAATGTGGAATTTCCGAAACAAGAGTCAGCATTTTATTAATATTGGCATGATATTCTTCTGATATACTATCGGGACTTACAAGAGGGATGAAAACTTCCCGTAAAGAAGGAGTAAACTTCTGAAGCATACTTTTGTTGAACGCTCTCATCTTCTTAGTTGATGTCTCCATTGTATGAAGAATCTTGATAATCTTATGTTCATTGATTAAAGAATACACAATTGAAGAGAGTTGCGGGTTCAATGCCTCTATATCAGAGAAATCTAAGCAATTTATATATGGTGCTGCTTTGGCAAATCTTGACAGCTCTCCCAATTGCTTCTTTGAAGCATCAGATGGAAAGGTGAGATTGAAGTTTCTCCAGGAGTCTGGCTGCTTCGAGAGCTGGTGCCACCTCTTGCAAACAAGTGGGACGCTGTCCAGCAGCATGACGGGCGGCAGCAGCGAGAAGACCTTTGAGAGAACATCGTCCGGCAGGCAGTTCACATCCATGTTGCCTGGAAAGAACACACGACAATGAAGAGGCGCATATCTTACTCAGCACAGGCCCTCAGTTACGAACAGAATTAGTGTGCTGTACCTCAGGACGAAAGCCAATGGGATCCCACTCACGTCAAATTACAGTGGATAAGCTGACGGAGCATAGAAAACCTTCCAGGACGTGCAGATTGGACGAAGCTGCCTCCTTCACAGAAATGAATGAACCGTGCGGTACCGCCACCGCCTTCGCAATCGACGCCTTCCTCTAAACCAAACCACAAGACCAAAATAAACAAAAGCAAGGAAGCAGAACGCCAACAGTTTAAAAAAATAGAGTTGTGTTATTATAGTTTCATGAACGAATTTAAAACTGTTTAGATACATTTTTGTACGATAATAGCTGAAGCTAGCGCTTAGTGGTTTTGGTTCATCCCTTCTGAAGGTTTGTAAACGAAAACCACGGCAACGATTTCTTCTTAAGGTGTGACCACCCTGGCCTCCCTCCTGTGACGTCAGAACCAGAAAAGCCAGAAAAGGAGAGGAATCGGAATTCGGAATGGAAGAATCAAGTTGATCGAACTGCGTTCTCTATTCTTTCGCTCAATGAAAACACAGCACCACTTGGTTACATTTTGGTGTTGTCTGTGCCAAAAATTGTTTGTTTCAATCAACCACAGTGACAGCTCTGGAGGTAAATCTCTGTCATGAAGATGTAGCAGACAAACTAATTGGAAGTTTGGCAGGTTAGTATTGTCATTTGTCTGCTTTACCGTGACTTTCAGTGCAATTTTTCAGTACGAGTGTCTTTTGATATCATTCTTGATTTAAACTTTTTACCATGGGCCCATATTGCATTACCACAATTTCCACGGTTTCCTATTCCAGGTGATAAGAGCCATTGTGGGGCATTGGTGACAGCTGAAGATGGATGCAAATGGAAACGACAACATTGACCCTTCAGATAGAAGGAGGGTTGTTAGACCAAAGAGTGGTTTGGTTAACCGTGAGGACACTGATGTAGCACAGCAGAGCCTTATGGCAGACAGGTATTATCGTGAAATGGAGACCCAAGATTTTGAAAACCGTGACTTAGAGTTCGTTTATGATGACAGTGATTCACCACTAAATGAGATTGCTGAACTGTATAGTTATACTGAACAGCCTGAGTTTCAGCTTAATGTTAAGGCTTTTGAAGATTTGATGGAAGATGCACAGCTCAGTCCTTCATGGCAAAAGCTAGACAGAGAAAAGCAAAAGTCCCTAATACTAAAATGGTTAGATCTTCTTGAAATGTCTAAGAGTGAAAGCCGTATGCGAGCTGCAAGATGTTTTCTGTACTTGTCTCAAGGCTGCTGGGCTGAACAGCAATCGGATGAAGAGCAGCAGCAAGCAACTCGCGATAATGTGATGCTCCTCAATGAATGTGGAGTGTTTTTTGCCTTTGTTGACCTTCTCAACATAAATATAGAAAACAGTGTTGCATCTATAAGTGCTCAAAGTAAACTAGCTGTAAGTCTTGCTGACTCAACAGATTTGAGAGTGATTTTAAGTGTGCTCTACATCATTGTGGAAGTCATGCGCTTATCCCTAACTGATAGTGATGAGAACTACAGGAAACAAGCCGAACAGTTTCACTCAGATCTTGCTCACTCATCTGGTGAAGATGTTCTCAGTGTTCAGTTGTTATCAATGGTGACCAGATTTTGTAGTGGCTCAGCACCACACTTTCCCATGAAGAAAGTTCTTTTACTTTTGTGGAAAGTGATTCTTCTCACTTTGGGTGGAATGAGTGTTCTAAAAAAACTAAAGTCAGAATATCGTAAAGAAGCTGGCCTTCCCATTATTGAAGAAGATACAATTGAAATTGCACAAAGCATGCGTCCATCATCACCACCAGCCAGTGCCAATGATCTGTTGGTAGCTCAAGACAACCAACAGAGTAAACGCCGTTTTCGTCGCAACCTTATGAAACAAGGTTCATTGGACGTTAATTCTGCTTTGGACTTTGAATCATCTGATCAATCAGAGCAGGATGACCGCGACATGGAAGAAAGAGATCCAGATACTCCTCGCACTCCAAGTCCTATAGTTTCAGATCCAGAACCAGAGCCGGAGCCAGAGCTCAAAGCTAAAGGCTTGCCATGGATGCCAAAAGTGCGTGGGAAAGATTTGGACAATTTCCTTGATAATACGAGAATGAAGTTTGTTGGCTTTCCTTTGCATGGGGATAGAGACACACTTATTGGGTTACCAGAGCCCATTCATGAGGGTGTTGCTGTCCTGAAACAGCACATGTACACATCTCTGGCAGAGCTTCAGATTCAGAAAGAAGAAGTCATGGCAAAGAGTCCATTTTCAGTTCAGGAGCCTGATGTTCCTTTAACACCTGCAGAAATCCTTTATCAGGCCATGCTCCCCAACTTACCCCAGTATGTAATAGCCTTGTTGAAGATACTTTTAGCTGCTGCTCCAACATCCAAAGCAAAGACTGATACCATTAATATCATGGCTGATGTTCTTCCAGAAGAAATGCCTATGACGGTTGTTCAGTCAATGAAGCTTGGCACTGACGTGAATCGTCACAAGGAGATTATTGTGAAGGCTGTTTCGGGTATTTTATTGTTGTTGCTTAAACATTTCAAGATCAATCATGTGTATCAGTTTGAATTTATGTCACAGCATTTGGTCTTTGCAAACTGTATCCCTCTTGTACTGAAGTTTTTTAACCAGAATATTATGGCTTATGTTCGAGCCAAGAATGTAATTCCAATTCTGGACTTTCCCGCTTGTGTGATTGGAGAGCAGCCTGAGCTAACAGTTGAGAGTCTAGAGATTGGGGACAACCAACCTTACTCATGGAGGAATGTGTTTTCATGTGTCAACCTTCTTAGGATTCTGAATAAGCTGACTAAGTGGAAACATTCTCGGATTATGATGCTTGTAGTTTTTAAATCCGCTCCAATATTGAAAAGAACTTTAAAGGTACGACATGCTATGATGCAATTATATGTTCTAAAACTCCTGAAAATGCAGACCAAATACCTTGGTCGCCAATGGCGGAAATCAAACATGAAAACTATGAGTGCCATTTATTCTAAGGTTCGGCATCGCTTAAATGATGACTGGGCTTTTGGAAATGATCTTGATGCTAGACCGTGGGATTTCCAGGCAGAAGAGTGTGCTTTACGGGGCAATGTAGATCGCTTCAACAACAGACGTTATGGCAGTGGGCCTGACTCTGAGCTGAAATCAACAGTAGATACGAGCATTCAGAGTGTACTAGGTCAAGATATTGAACTAACTGAAGAGTTTAAACAGCACTATGAGATATGGTTGCATCAAGTTCTGTCTGTGAATGTGAATTGGGATGAACTTATAGATAAGGCATATCTGTGACCCCCATAAATAACTGATCTACTTTTGTTTTTTTATCACCATTGCATTTTAATAAATTTTATTATGTTTATTTAGCTTGTCCACGCAATATTATGTGTTTCTTTTATGTATTTGTATTGGTACTTGGCTTTGTGTATACCTATGAATTCAGCAATGACTTGTACAATGGAAGTTACAAGAAAAAGAATGTATAATTTAATACACTAATTATTTCATCTTGGGCTAATTTTAGTCACTAGTCTCACTTCATAGAAGAAAAAAAAATATACTAGGATATGCAAGGAAAACCTATTTGTCAGACATACTTGCAGATAATGTCTCCATTTTTTTATTGTAATAAAAAACAGCTGTGAGTCATTATTATAAATCCAATAAACAAAATAAGTTTTTGTATAAAAATATTAAGTCCTTTTTGTTTTGAGATTATTTCATTCCATGTATACACATGTAACCAAATGACACAGAAGCCCACAAACAAATTTTTACACAATTTTGGCACTACTTTATGCCAAAGATTCAGACATAAGTGCAAAATATATAAATATCACAAAAATAAGTGGTTCTTTCTCACAAATACAGTTGCAATCAGGTTATTATAAATATAAATAACAAAATAACAGTAAGTAAAGATCCACAGACTGGGACTGCTTTCTTTTTTGTAAGTGATGTTAGTGATTTTGATTTAATACTGTTGTAAACATGTCAATACGACTACTCCACTAGAGAGACCCCTGATGTTTACCAAAAAACAATTTAAAGGAGCCTTTGCAAGTTGTAATTTTGAAGAAAAAAAAAAACATTCTAAAAACATTTTTAAAATTGTAAAAAATTTGCAGCGAAATACTACATACAAAAACATCCAGATACTTCTGAGAACCAAGACAACAGAGCAGAGAGATTTTGACTAGAATTAATTTTTCCGGCTTAACCTAGACCCCCAGACACGTACACACAAAATGAAGTGGGTAATTAAACAATCTATACCATCAGTGAACATTTCATTCAATAAACACCATTTTTACACAAATTTAAAAAGTATTACAAAAGCAACAGGCAAATTTACTCCCTCCCAAGCCTGTCAAAAAATTACTGTAACCCACGTTAGAGTTAATGTTTCTGTGCATCATGCACTACAAACATTTGCCCTGTGCAAAACAACATTGAAAATATGATTGACTGGCCCACTTTATAAAATGCCATATTAAATAAATTACAGATAATTGAACTAGTTAAGATATCAGAGTAGGAATGTGCTGGAATACATTCATGCGAATTTAAAGCGTTAGTTGGCAGTGGGTGCAGGATAACATAGACAACAAAAATCTGAAAGTACAAAAGACAAAAAAAAAATTGTAAAATATTTGTGTATTATACAAGAAATTGCAAAAGTGATAATTTTTGTACCTCATGTAGGAATATCCTGAGTGGGGATCCATAGCTCAACAGCACAGTTCGTACATCCCACAGCAAGAATCCCATGTTGAAAATCAATCTGAACAAAAAAACACAAGGTGAGCGTTTGTTGCACTCACAATGTGCAAAGGCAGCACAAGCCATAACATTCTTTAAACATATTATATTTTCAACTTACAGCTGCAACCTCAGTTCCAACTGTTGTAAAGCTGGTAATTAATTCAGGATGGTGAGTTGGCGTTGACACTCGGACTGTACCATCTGATGACCCTGTGATCACACATCCCAAACCATGACGAACTGCAGTTATCTTACATTGGTCTTTATGCCCTGCATCATAGGACTGAAAGAGAATTAATCCGTTATTTTTGTGCTCGTTTTTCAAAGCAAAAGCAGCAAATTTAAACTTACAGCAATTATTTCAAATCTAGTTGGAGAGTCTCTTCTTGGATCAACTAGATGAAGTCTATTTTTTGAATCCCCTATATACAGCATATCACTGTTAAGGGACATGCACATAGGAAAAGCTGTGCTCTCTGGGTCACTAGGACCAATCTACCGAAATAAAATTTATGATTTCAAGTTTTGATCCAAAGATCTGATTTCAATAAAAATATCAGTTTTGTGTATACCTTGACATTTTCTTTGAGAAGTTTTCCTGCACGAATATCCCACACAGCAAATGTCTGGTCTTCGCTAATTGACACAACAGTATCAGCGATTCCAGACTCCTCCAAAAGGCATAGCTTTAAAACAGCACGGCGGTGGGGAGTGTATGAGTGAATCGGTTTAGACCCACTCCTTGGATCCCAAAGTAAAACTCGTTTGTCAAATGAACCAACAGCTACCAGATTTGGCTTACAAGCAACACACAACATAGCTGTTTTGCTTCTGTAGGGAAAACAAAACAAGAGATAGCTATAATGTAAATCAAAGTGGATATTTGCACCAATGGTGCAACCAACATTCTCCGCTATTTGCACCAATATGCCGCGCCGCACATAAAATATTTATGTATATTATGGTTTGAGTTAGGTGGGTGGTTAAACCTATGATGAGCTGGGCTGGGATTACCATTAAGCCGTTGGAGTGGGCAAACTGCCTCTTTATCACAGTGCAGGGCATGCAAGGACAGCTACTCACACCACGAATCATATCTATCTATTGTCAAATTATTTATCTGATTTTCAATGCAAGCAGCTGTCCATGCACACCGCGGCTTGAAGGAGCAGCTGTCAGCACCAACAGAGGAATCCAGGTTCAGATTGGGGCAGATAACTTTGAAGTTAATCAGCAATTAGTGCCTTCTTTTGTGCCACACCTGCTGTACACATATATTCGTGCAAATAGCTTTGTGAGCTGTTAGCCCATCAATTGGTGCAACCGCAAAAACTTGAGTTTGGGTTCATACTTAAATGTATCACTAGCAGTAAGTCTTCCATCCTCTAGCGTCCACAGTTTGGCTGTGCAATCCCAGGAACAAGTGTAAAATGATGAATCAGACTTTGCTGCCAGACCCCATATCCAGCCTTTATGCGCTTCAATATGAGTGATAGGGCAAGGGTTACTTGCATTAACATCCCAAACGGCAAGACTACGATCCCGAGATCCTGAAACACACAGCGCCCCTCTCTTTGAAGGAAACAAAAGTCAAGCATTTGAAATGGTAGGCAGAGGAAATTTAAATGAGGACTACTGATATTCTCACATTGATCAGCATAATGGCATCTATAGATGCTACATGAAGGTCCCTCCATGACAAATGTTTCATAGTGCTTTGCATATTTGACCAACGCTCCTGTTGTTCTTCCAGGTTTATGCAAGCAGCTTTCCAATTAACACAGTTATTAACAGCTAATATTCAAGGAAAGAAAAATAGAATAAAATTTAAAAGAATTTAACTTGAACTAAATAAAAATTGAAAAGGTTTATTACCTGGAAGGGGAGGATAAACCTGTCTCCACCTTTTGAATATTCGAGATCTCCATATGAAGTCATCAGAAAGAATTTCATTCAGTCTCTTGTTCACCAGTCTCATGGTTTGCATGAGGAGGCGTGCACTTAAATATGAACAGACTTGAAGAAAGACCTTGAAAAAGTGAATATAAAATGAATATAAAACAAATATAAAACATTACTAAAACAATAACAAAGTATGCCGAGTTTTAATTTAGACGTATTACCTCTGTTGGGAGGTCAGTCAGCGTTATTCTTAAAGTTTCAGGGCACAAGTCTGGTGGTATTTCACAGATTTCTTGATGTAATGATTGCTCTTCACTATCAATAGACATTGACAGAAAGCATTTATCTGTCTCGTCTGTGAAATCTGAAGCACAGTCCACTTGTTCAAGAGGATCCATTTTAGTTTCAGTGCAATGAGGTTTCTCAGAGTGTGGATGATTTCCAGTTTCTGTCTCATTGTCTCCAGGCAATGACATGATGCTAGAATATCCAGCCACTGAAATGGATAATAGTAACAATAAAAACTAATTTAAACTTGAATAAAATTAAAATATATTGCAAATAGTTGAGAAAAATGTCATCTCAACAATCAAGATATCAATACTGTGACCATGACATCACTTGAATGAATTACACAAAGCATAATGAGCAGGCACCATCGATTTTAAATGTCAAATGCACCACGGAAACCACAAGGAAACTTGCATGTATGTTGTTTGCTCGCTCACACCACGACGTCGGTTTGACCCACAAACCGAATGCAGATGAGCAAGCTTAAAAATAAACATACCTCGCTGCAGACACGAATGCCGGAAATAGGATGCAACCAAATCGTAACCCAGTATTTCGAGTCATAGTCAGAAAATCAATGAGTTAGATTTCATAATATACCATCCAATTGTTACTATAATTAAAAATTGGCGAGTTCGAAACGTCAAACAACAATAGAGCTTTGCTGGTTACTGTTCCAGAAGACTTTCACCGTTCGCAAGCCACTTACCCCACGACTAAGATGTCATTCTTCGAAGAAAATACTAGTCTTGTTTTTTAATAAATAATTATCACTTGGAGCTGGAATCCTGTATTAGATAAAAGCACCAATGCCTAAAAAACTGCGGAAAATTTAAGATATCGTCATTTCAGCTGTCATCTGAGAACAAGAACACAACACAACAGCACCTTCCTGATGTTGTTGTTGTTTTGAGGAGGTGGGTGGGAGGGGAGAAGGGGAGAGAGGGGGGTTGGTAGTCCAGAGAACTGACCTGCAGAGTGCGCTACTAGGAAGACACGGCCTTGTGATTTAACACCACAAGGACCTAAACCAAAATGGCGACTCCCATAAAAGTCAAAATGACTTACTTATTATCATAACCTCTGTCATTTACTTTATTTTCAGCAATTATTGGTCTACCTTTCCATTTCATTCTTAACATTAACAATAACTAACTTTTCTTTTGAGCTGAAACAAGAGATAGTTGTAACAGCTAAGTCTAATATCTAATATTACAAATACAACCGCTTCCTATTGACAGGTGACAGATGAGAAATGCATAGTACACAAGTGTTTGCAAAGCAAAGTCCCAGCCAAACTTGAACTATTCTATTCGGATGTCTGAACATTCACTTCTTTTTGTTCGTAACTTATAGTCGCTTTCCTTACAGCTTTTCTGCACAGAGGTTGTTTACCGAACATTTACTTTCAACCCATTAATCCCCGAAATATTTAAAGGTATGGCTTAATGTTTTACACATAACCTATCTCAAATTTTCTAACACTGTTGTATACATAATTTGGACAAAGTTGCTGCTTGTATCACTTGCGTGCGTATAAATATCAGTCCTTATTTTGCTTGTAACCTTTTGTAGAAATGATAACATTGACAAGAAAACTCAAGAAAGAAGCCCCTGTTAGCAATGGACCACAAATAATTGATGCATCAAAACGAGTTTCAATTAGGGATAGACTATTGGTCAAAGAGGTATGTGTTAAACACCTCAGTGTTGGATTTGCAATAAGAATTTGTTTGTCACCGTTGCATGTTCAGAATATGTAATTTGGTTGTCTAGTTGAAAATCCACAAGAGTTGCCAACTTTATTGTCATATTGATAGCTATTCCTAATTCAGGTTCAAGAAATGGAGCAGACATTACCAGGCACTTGCAGTGTTAAATTTGAAAACCCTGATGAACTATTCAATATTAGCCTGACGGTATCACCTGATGAGGGTTACTGGGCAGGTGGTACCTTCTACTTTCACATATATGTCACAGAGGACTATAATATGGCGGTAAGTTTAAATGAATTTCTGCTCAGGCTGTCAGTAAGCTGCTTTAATGCTATGAGATGATAACTTGTTTTTTTTCAGCCACCTGAAGTGAAATGTCTTACTAAACTATGGCATCCCAATATAAGCGAAGATGGTGATATTTGCTTGAGTTTGTTACGTCAAAACTCCATTGACAGCCTTGGGTGGGCTCCCACTCGAAGAATCAAGGATGTAGTTTGGGGTCTAAACTCACTTTTTACTGTAAGTTCCTCTCCACATTTTCTAGGTGTTGAAAAATGCAAACTCCTCAATGTTTGTAATTTACAGAGTTTTTTCCAATTTTTCAGGATCTTCTCAATTTTGACGATCCCTTAAATCTTCAAGCCACTGAATTGTATCTGAAAGACAAAGAATCTTTCAGACAGAAAGTGAATGATTATGTGAAACAGTATGCCAAGAGATAATTGGATTGTTCATATGGTACTGAGACTTTTTAATTCATGTCGAGTGTTGCTTCAATCAACTCTCTGACATCAATGCTATGTTATAATTTTATTTTTCTATTTTTTTTTTAAATCTGATTGCACTAATGATTTTAAATTTGTAAGGATTAGGTAATTTTTTGGATGTTTGAATATTGTATGAGTGTGTGTGGTCTCATATTCACCCATATGCTGTGTGCCTTTCTATTGGCGCAACTTGCCGTGGTCATCAAGTAATTTTTACCATAGAAATATGTTCTAATGATTTTTCTTTGAATTTTGCAATTAATCCTACCAATTTCAATTCATCTTTAGAGACAACAAAACAAATCAGTTATTCAATGAATACTTCTTGCTTAACTTTCTAGTTCAATATCAAGTATTTTTTTTTTTTTTTTTTGGGGGGGGGGGGGCGCTGAAGAAGTGTTGTCTAAAATAAATATTGTTATATTTTTTTTTAACTTTATGTATCAAGACCATCACTGAGTAGCTTTTCTTCTTACATGTAAGACAGTTAAAGACCAAACCCTTTTTTGTTAAGTTTCATAAGTCCGTCTTTCGTTGTAACTCCCTAAGTTCTAACCACTGTGGTTTGAGTTGCAATATTGCTGAAAATGCTCTGCATTGTACTTTATTTTTTTATTTTATCTATCTTGGGATGCACTAAAGTCAATGTACAACTAGCAATGTAGGCTTATTCTGCAAAAGTTGTTACACCTTTATTTAATTTGGTCACCTCCATTTCCTTTCTTTTTTTCTCCGCCTCAGGTTTAAGGTGGGATTCAAAAATCTGGAATCATTTTTTAAAAATGTGACTCATTCATAGCTCCCCTAATTCTTCAAATGGTGTGTCTTTATTGACCTGGTCTAATGCCTTAACCGGATATGACTCAAAAGTTAAACAGTACCAGCTTTAAAAGCCATCTCCGTTTAATTGAATGCCGAGCATTTCTGCGATATCATGTGATATTAAAATAATAATTAATAAACAGAGCAGCGCTTTGGTTGCTATTATAATTGACTAAATGTATTTCTTTTTGGAAATATGCCATATACACAAGTTACACATTAACTCATCTGAAATCAACCATCTGGAGATAAAATGCCTCACAAATTAGCGGTCCACTATTTGTTTCCAGTGCCATTTCAATGTTTTTCGAGCTAGGGAGCTCACACTTTGCAGGTCGGTGCTTCTGTCATTCGTCTAGGCGCTCAGGGAGTGGACAATCCGTCCGCCACCCCTAACGAACTGTGCAACCCCTACAGTGGAGGAGGGTGAAAAAATCGGTCCTAACAGCTTTGAAATTGTCAAGATATTTCATGAACCGATTCAACTTTTTGTCTTCTTTTGATCGGCTTATGCGAAATTGTGATCGGACAAATGAGTTATGTGGTTCGTCAGATGTGGTGGATTATCCTATGGGCCCTGTACCCGGCCGCGGCGCATGTGTTGTTATTTTTTTGAATCGGGCAACTCGCGGCTGAACAACCCCCGCTGACGTCCAACCCCTTTTAGAATATCGACCATTTTGAACACTACACTAAGGGTTTAAGTTTAAGCTTGGAACTGTCAGAACAGGTTCCTTTTTCTTTAGTCTGAAACACATCCATGCTGAGAAACCTGGTGTCGACATCCTCAACCCCTTGCCGAAGGGGTAGCCACCCCCGAGTGGCCTGCAGCCCTTAGGAAGTGGATGAAGCGTAGGGTCCGTGAAGAAGCTCCCCCCGAGTTTTGTGTCGGTCGGACCGACCGTTTCGCTCCCAGAGGCGAAAAAGAGTCGAAACGTTAAAAAGCCACCCCCAAGTTTAACCTAGGCCTACGCGCTGACGCCGAATTGAGGTAGGGTAGCGACTCCATGCAAAGCATTCCACCTCGGTGGGCCCAACTTTCATCTCGAAGGCAACAGTTTCTTACGGTGACGCTCGGGGCCGTGAGAGCGATGAGACGGTACCGGTACTGCACTTGACTTGACCGCTCTGTAGAGTCTCTGAATCAAGGAAACTTCTGTCTTTTGGCAGGAATGTGGACCTCTGGCACTTACATTTTACTCTGCAGTTGAAATTCTGCATGGGGTGCGATTTAACGGTTGTTGGTGCCATTATTGTCTCTCGGCCCAGCCACGCTACGCTACGCCCCAGTTCACGAGTTCACCAAATTTTCCCCAACCCCCTGCAAGTTGTTTTTGGTGGGACCGGATCCGGATGGATGATCTGTTTGTAGTGGGTGGTCATCCTGCGCATGGGGGTCCTTGTTATGAGAAATTCTTCAGTGTTTGAGTTTGAGATACGGCGGAGGAGAAGTTCAAAGCAGCGCTCCACCCGTGCTCATTCCTGCTGTTCTCATGCATGGTAGATTTCTCATTCGATAACCGAACGGCCAGTCCCAGGTCCCCCCACCCCTCCCTTTAACCAACTTCCGGCTATACGTTGCCTCGTGTGTTGTTGTTTACGCTGTTGTCTGTGTTATTATTGTTCAAATGGATACATTTAATTTTAAATTAGTTGGTATTATGTGGACTCTTACATCGAAACGTGCATCCGCGTGTCTTCTGGCCGCACCGACCTTTCGGGATTTGCGACGGATTAGAAGATAAGCGCTGAAATCCGAACTGTGTTCTCTGGCATGCGCACCTGCAGGTTAGAAACGATTTTGAATCATATTCATTGCATCTGTTCTCTATATATCCTCTAATTAATGATTGTTAATTTCAGGTTTAAAACGCTGTTTCGTAGATGTTTGATGGATTTGAAGATAACCCCCGAAATTCGTCCCATGTTCTGTGGCATGCTCATGTGAAGGTTAGAATCGATTTAGAATCACATTTATTGCTTCTGTTTGCCATGTTTTTCCTATTATTTAACGTTCATTGCAGGTTAAAAACCCTGGTCTACCGCCTACTGGATATTTCCACTTTTGAAGTTGACTTCGTCAAGTCCAAGTGAGGATGTTACCCGCTGTAAGTTTTGTCCTGAATTATTGTTATTGTTCTCTTATTTCTTAAATAAGTGGATTTAGTATTTGTTTATATTTTAGTTTTACTTATCCTATGAATGTTGCTTTACCCCTGGCTTAGCAAGCCAGACTAAATTGTGTTAGCCGGAGCGATGCCTGGATGAGGAAGGGCTTTGCGCCGAGTATGGCACGATAAGCTTGTCGAAAGGTCCATGATGTTTTTTCCTAATGTAATTTTTATCTCTTCTTTCAGGTTAAACTTCTTCTTTGCTGCGCTGCTCTGGCAACTTTGTCTATTAGTTCTTGACAAGAGAGGAAAATCTGCCTTGTACATTTTAATATGTAATTTAAAATTGATTGACATGAGTCTGTTTAGCATAGCAGATGATACGTTTAAATTTGAAACAATTCCTCTCTTCGATGTGAACTGTCAAACTCAGCTGATCTTGTTACTGTATCCTTTTACATCCGGTGAGATATCAATTTTATAGAATTGTGTCTCACAAATGTACATGTAAAACTATGAATAAAAACAGCTCAAGTTACATCAATAGATTGTGTTTCTTAAATATAGAGTACAGGGGAGGAAAAGATTAGTACTGTCAAGTACAGAGGCCTAGGACCCTATGAGACTGGGGACCCCCAGAGATTGTTCACTTCGACTTTCAGGATTTAAGACGCCCTCTTGTGTGAAAGAGACACAAATAGAACCCTGAAACTTTGAGAGAGCAAGAATGAGCAGGCCCTGGAACACCCGTGCCTTCACCTTTGTACGGCTTTAGAAATTACATGAGTCTAATATT